GCCTTTACTCAACCACTGGACTTGTTTTGTCGGTCACTCTTGGGTGTGCAAATCTCCCCCCGAGTGGGAGCACCTCCAGGGCAGCAGCTACTCACTCTTCTGTCTCCAGCACAGTGCACAGGGCTCTTCACCGCTTCTCCTCGGAGCAGCCTCTCGTCTCTCGCTTTAGTAAGACCAGTGGTCCAGGACTTGGCTGCTTCCCAAGCCCACTGTCCATTCTTCAGCCCTGTCCCCAGGAGAAAGGAGCTTCAGCTGCAGTCATTTTCCAGAGACCAAATACTGCCCCAACCCCTCTCCTAGCTGGAGTGCAGTCCCTCTCCCGGGCCTGTTGGGTTTTCCCTGGCGGCCCATTCTAAGGCAGGCTGTCTGGGGAGCCCCAGTGTGACCCCTCACTTGTGCGGGACCCCCCCCCCCGCCCTCCTCAGTGTTGCCCAGAGCTCAGGCCCTTCAGCTACTACAGATGTTAGGGGGAAGAGGATGTCCTGAACCAACTCCACAAACAGGTTTTATAGACTCCACCCCCACCCCAGCCCAAAGATACCCAAGACACCAAAACCCACAAATCCCATGTCCTCACCGAACAGAGGGTTGCTGGGAACGGAGGGTGGAGCTAAGCAGGCAGGTTTGGTATAAAACCAGACATGTGGGCCTTGGGGGTCTCTTGGTTTTTCGCCAGCTCTCAGCGTGCTGGTGGGGGTCGCGCTCAGCGGACCGGGTAGGAGGCATTCATGAATTTATCTCCATTTCTCCCTGAGTTACTCATGTCTTCATTTCCCCTTCTTTTGCAAATAAACCCTTTATTAACCTTCGTGCGTGCCTGCAGTGGAGTAGTATTCTAAGTCCATTTTGAGCACGCGGGTGAGGACCCAGCGTCAGGCGACACGTTTCGTATCGGGGTTGCCCTGTGACGATGTCACTTCTCTCCCGTCACTGCTCAAGCCCAGCAGATCCTTCCCATCCTGGAGGATGGCACTCTTGCTCTCACTCTCCCCCTTTCTGCCGCTCTCCCCACGGCTCCTCACTTGGTCCTTCCTGGCCACATCGTCTGGCCCCTCGCAGTGTTTCCTAGCTAACCTGCCTTGCCAGGACTCTCCACCCCAGCTGGGGACATGGAGTCTGCCAGCCTCCCCTTGCCCCATTGTGATTCTAGAGGGGCAGGGCAGGGCGGCCGGGAAGGAAGTTCAGAGCTGGGTGTTGAGCGCCTTCCCTGCTTCCAGCCCCACTCCTGGCTACGCTCCAGACATTGTGTCCCAAGGTCTGGGCCACCACCAAGGCAGCATACACGCCCACTGGTGCACAACTAGTGGGAAGGGGGAGGGAGCAGGTAAACTTTTTAAAAAAGCAAGAAAACCCACTTCTCTCTCCAAATGCAACTAATATCTCCACACACTCAGTTCCCTAGCAGAATTGCCTCCAACTTGCACTGCCTCTGCCTCTCACACCCCAAACACTCACACCACACACACACACACACACACACACACACACACACACACACACACACACACACACACACGCACGCACTTTAGTCATCTGCTCAAAAACTCCACCAAGAGATTTCGGTGTGTATTATTCATCGCTGTATCCCTGACAAGCAGCCGAGCACCTGGCAGACAGAAGCATGGTATTTACTGATGGGCCCCATACAGATCATGAAACTTCATAGTTAAGCTTAAAAAAAAAAAAAAAAAAAGCATTGAAAACAACAGTTCAAAATAAGAGTCACATCACTGCTTAAAACGGGAAGGTTTATTAAGGTTTTTCCTCAAGAGGAACAGTCAAGCTCATGCTTCTTAAGAGAAGCAATTAGCAGGAAATGTACGTCACACCTTGGGTCCAGAACCACAGGAGGCTGCTTAACAGCAAAGAACTTGCAGCCCCCAATTCCCTCTCAAAGCTGTTGTCATCACCTGCAAAACAGGAGCCATGTAGCCTTTCCAGAAGAGAACTAGGCAGCCAGTTCAAAGTCTCCAGCTATTCTCAACAAGAATATTTAAGCAAGACATGGCATTAAATAAATGGACTGCACATTCAACAAACTCCAGAAGAAATTGTATACAAAAAAAAAAATCCATGTTCAATGCAATGTCTGTATTTTCAAGAATAACTTGCATTTTTTACATTTTTAGGGAACAGAAATGCCAAATGGTGGGTGGGTAGACTACTCAAAGCTCACATTCATTTCCCTCTCTGCAAGATGGGTTCTTTCCAAATCCTGGGTAAGAACCCAGACAGTTCTCCCTTTTAAATCCGGAGCTGTCAAGAGGGGCTATTTCAACACACATGTAAGTAGCACCTTAAGTACAGGACCCAAATAAAACAAAAGGTTGTTTTACAAGTTATTTTCTTCCTTCAAATTCTTGACAATTTCTTTGCACTTTTGTTTCAGCACATACATATAACTTATAAGAGTATTTTATGTCTTCTTCTAGCATTCTACTGTAAGAGCGCACAAAGGAAAACACTTAAGGTGATCTTTCTTTTTGTCCTTCAGTCCGGAAACAAAAAAATCAGACACGCGAACGGACAAATACGTGTACCTACAAAGACAACAGGCAAACTACCTTAAATCGGGCAGTCCATACAATACAGAATGTGGAGAAAAATAGCTACAGACTAAGTAACCTATTTTAATAAAGTTGGCAATTAAAAAAACCGGTATCTTCCCAAGGATTAACTTTTTCCCAGGTACACTCTAAGCAGTGAGCCGTTTTACTGAAGAGTAAAAGGTGGCCAGTTACGACAGCAGATCAAGGTACTAAACAGATTAGTTTCCAAGTTGGAGGGGGGGAGAAAATAAAATATTAACATCCATATTTCTTCAAGCATTTCCCAAAGAACTCACTCTCTGGCCACGTCCAATAAATTACAGTAAAATTCATCGCTTTGATAAATTTCTTATGTAACTTCCCCACCCAGTTGGATTGCAAACTCTTGAAGGAAGGCCTTTATACCTCTCTGTGAAGTATGCAGTGTTTATAAAATAGATGGCTTGAGTATTTAATTTAGTGCTTGCAGAAGTGTTAACTGATACTGAAGCTCCCCCTAGAGGAAGGTAAAATTGCAGTTAGAGTATATTCACTATTTACTGTTAAATTTCTACAACTAGATTGTTTGGAAGTACTAAACCATTTAAGTTGTTTGTGTTTTAGGGGAAAAAAGCAAACTATCAACTGTGACATGGAGCCTTCTTTAAATTATATGTTACTCCTATAACCAGAGCCACTATTTTTTAAATAGCAACAAATACTAGTGTGACATGAGTTCCTATGTAATTTATCATATGAGATTCATGTATTTTTTTTGAGGATGTTTTATTTCTCAGCTATAAAAATGTATCTCTTTCTCAGGAACCTCCCCCTCTGGACCCGAGACTACAGAGCTCACAGACTGACAATGTAAAAGCACACCTATCTTACTTCCTAACAGGATACCCTTTCCAAATCTTGTTCAGCAACAGATTTCCTGGAGATACCACTATTACCTCAGATTTTGCCTGGACCTGCTCTGCATACCCCTGCATGCCACAGGCACATTTCCCTTCACATTCTGTCAATACCTTTATCCCAAGTGGACTGTACACGAGGCGACAAAAAAAATCTAGTACCTGGCATTCTTCTCTACCATGTTTTAATGTAAGGGGACATTGAGTTTATAGTAATGAGTCAAGCAGAAGGTACCGGGGAGCTACTCTTAATAATTTCTACTTAGTCTGGCAAATAACTATACAATCTATATAATAGATAACATTTAGAAAGCTTTACTCATTTGTGAGATGTCTATGATTGTAAAAGAAATGTTTAAGAGGTGTGTTTTAAAAGAGAATGACTACAGAGGACCTTTAAAATATGACATCCTGACCTGCATAGACTGGCACTAATGCTTCATTTTTAAAAAAGTTTATTGCATTTAATAGATTTTTGGCCCCTCAATCCCAGATATATGTATAGCTGGATCAGCAGAAAGTATCAGACAACTAAGTTTATTAGAAACGCAAAAGAATACAATTTCCAAGTATTAACAATATTTTAACTTTTTTCTCAAGTTGGTCAGAACTTACATTTAAAATCTAATTTTTAATTTAGTAACTGATGGGCTGACCTCACTCCTGGAAAGTCTTAGCAAGGCATGAACACTGCACTTCATGCCTGGTTGCAACGAGACAGTTCTCTAGATCCCTGAGCAATGATTTAGACTTTCTAGGACTGGTCTCTTTAAAATCCAGGGACAAGGCACAGGGTTTTCTAAGCTTATTTCTTGTATTCTCTAGCACTCAACTGGTGGACAAGCTGTTTGCTCTACCTCTATGGCAAATGCATAAGTAATATTACCCTAGGTCCATGTCCTATTTAAGCCCCATCTTTTGTAAAAATGGAAAAAACCGAGAAAGGAAAAGCACCACTATACAGCCAGCTAAAATTTTAACGTTGCAATAGTCTCCATACTACTACTATTCTACGTCATATATAGTTGAAGCAAAAGCAACTGACACCTCCTTTATGTCTTTTCACTTTCACTCACTTCTTTCAAATTCTTCAACCTATTGTAAAGCAAATTTGAAAAAATTTACATAACATTTCATTGGTGGATTTATACCCAACAAATTAACGACGACAAAGGATCCCCTTGATGAAATTACAAGCTGTAGAAGATTTGAAATAGTAAAAGTTAAACCCTGATACAGTATTAAACTTATCTTTTTACATATAAAAATAATACACAGTGGGATATTTTATTCAATAAGATACAATCTTTAAGATAAAGAGAATATACAAAACTAGTCTATGTAGTCTGATGTGTTTTACCGTAGTAGGAATAAATATATCTAAAACAGAAAGTGGGAGATCTGTTCTTAAGAGAAATCACTACTTACAGGGTTTAAAGCCAAGAGTTCTGCAGGTACCAGTCAGAAAGGAGTTACTGTTGCATTTCAATGATGTGATCATTAGAAAATAAAGGCCTATAAGGTCTATAAACAATAATAAAACACACAAACCAAATGAAAATGTACTAAAATTTAATCATCCATAAAAGCTGTAATTTAATCTGACAGTAAAACACAAGAAGCAATATTAGAGTTGGTTTAGTATATTATATATTTTAGCTTTGAAAGCCATAGAAATCAGTTATCCCAGGTTTTTTCCTATAAAAGACCCATTTTTTCCAAAGCATTATGCACAAACAATTTAATTAGAGTATCATGACAGAATGATATTTCATAATTTTTTAAATATAAAATGAACTCAATGACTCAAAAAAGTTATCTGCTGCAATGAGTTTGAGGGGAAATTTCATAATCTATATCATTACAGATATAAAGTGTAATGTTTCAACTTTTAGTGCTTGACAGGGAGGAATCATGATAAAAAGGTCAATATGAAATCATCTGATTATAGTAGCAATATCTAACATTTGAAATGCATCCATGCTCTTTTGTATAATCATATTAGAGTCAAGTATATTTATTTTCACATCTGTTATAACTGCTATTGCAAAGGAGAAATACTATTGTCTTATTTTCCGAGAGATATACACCGACCAAACAGTTTCTTCTTCAGGGAACTTGTGCAAACCAATATAAGATCTAAATTCTTCACATAATATATAAAACAGGAGAAGCCTCTTCAGATTTATTTTTTGAAGTCTGGAATGCTGGCACTTTCCAATTAGGCAACAGTTCTTCATTCCTGTAATCTGGAACATTGAATATATACAGATACATACATACACGGTTAATCTCTTGATAGCAGAAGATGGTAGCAAAATAAAAAAAAAAAATCAGATATCTAATAGGGAAAAAACAGTTACTTGAGGATTGTTACCTGAAATCAAAATTATAGCAATGACAACAGCTGTCTTAAACTCCCTTTAAAAATGTTTATAGAAAGGGAAGGGCGGGGAAAGGAAGGACTAGAGTCAAAATAAGGGGGGAGGTGCAACTGTATGGGGGAATATAACCAAAACGAAAATGCATACATTGTGCAAAGATGAAAAAGGATGTAAGAATTATATAAAATATTTAAATAAATAGCATAATGCAACTTTGGGAGGATAAAAAAAAAGTAGTTTCACATTGTATCTAACAGTCCTGTCTGAAAGAGGAAAACAGTGATTACTTCATTTCTATCCCATGATAACCTTATTTTGTTAAGTTCCCTTTTCACTAAGCAAAGGACACCTGCCTGCATAAACCTGCCATGGGAAATTGATTATGCACCACTTCATGATTGTAATGTACTGGGACTGCCACTTTTAATACAGGTTGAGACAAGAAAAAAAGATTGCCACATTCAAGGGTAGAAGAATCAAAATTAGTCTTACTGCTTAACAGAAAAGAACTAGGTAAAGAAAGAATTAACTGAAGATGAATTTCTCTCCTCCGCGAGATTAACTTTATTTCAACACAATTTTGCTTACAGGCACAGGCTACCGAGTTGCCCTCAAGGTGCATATAGTCTTACTAAAAAAGCGTCCATGACTACTACTTAAAGCCACCTGTATCTCGATACTTTAAAAAAGTGATCAAGATAGCACTGAAAGCCTGTAACCACAATCAAAAGCTGGGCAAAGTATTCTGATTGCTAACAGACCTATTATTTGGTATTATCAAACATCCATAAATCTCAGGTGACTGATTAAATATAAGTTGAATTACATTTTAGTCTCATATTTTATGCGACCAAGATGAAAGTCTTGTTTCAGATCTAGGCCAAGATTTCTACAGCAAGACTCACAATACATCTGCTCAGTGTGTACAAGTGAATTTTCACAATAAGCCAGGAGATGGCACCTCTTTCTTGAAACATAAGCCAAAAGGACATTTCCTGAGAACTGAAAATTAAATGAGGATCTGCTAAGGTAATGGTATCCATGAGTCAACTATAAGAGTCAAACAATATAATTTATTTTTTAAAAATAGATTTATTTATTTATGCATACAAGAACTGGGGTACAGGCCAGAGGTGTGGTGGGTGAGAGGATTCACCAGAGACAGAGTGGGAGCACAACAGGCGGATGGACTGAAATACACTGCTGAGGGGAGCAGAGGGCCAGACAGGACAGGTCTGCTGCACCATGTGGGTAGATCCCTGGCTGGGGATCAAACTTGTGCTGCAGTGTCTGCCCTGCAGACAGCTTCATAGTGCTGTGACTTAACCCCTTGTGCCACCAGAGAGGCCCAAACAATATAATTTAGAACAGGAACAATTTCCCTTCCCTTGCACCCTTACTTACACAAATACAAACACCAGCATTTAAAACAATACTCGCTTCCAGGAAGCTGAGTTATTGAGTCAGGATTTCACTAAAGCTTGAAACAACCGTTTGGTCAGAAAATTTGTCTTTCTTAACTCTCAACACCAGTGGCAACCCCCATATCCTTTTCTCCTTTCCGTTCATTCTCTCTCTACCTTCATTAAGAAATGGGGTACAATTACCTAACTGCTTTCCTGATGAGAGAGATTCACTCATCTCTAAGGAAGCACATATTAATTTATTTGTTCTGGAAAAGGTAATCTACTAAAGGGACTCAAGAGGTTTACAAGAGTTAGTGCAATCAACTCTCAAGTGGAAACAGTTGACTTTCTTCCAACCGGACCAGGTTTAGTAATATTCACATAATTAGCATCAAATTACATCATAAATCTACTCCATGAAAATATTCTTTTATGGGACTGTTATATAGATGAAGATAAGTAGATACTATTCAGGGAATTTGAAAATATAATTAAAGAAAAATAAATGGTCCCATACGGCCTAAGTTTCTTAGTGACAGGCAGCTTCAATGCTGTCACGAATGTCTAATGGTTTTTTTTTTTTTTTAAGATTTATTTATTTATGCATACAAGAACTGGGGTACAGGCCAGAGGTGTGGGGGATGAGAGGACTCACCAGAGACAGAGCGGGGAACAGAACAGGCAGACTGATGGAAATACACTGCTGAGGGGAGCAGCGGGTGTGGCAGGAGGGGTCTGCTGTGCCATGTGGGTAGCTCCCTAGCTGGGGATCAAACTCAGGTCCTCGCCATAGGCCTTTGCAGTGATAATGTTGAGGCTTAACTCCAATGGGTTCTCTTAATGAAAATATAGATGGGGGCCTCCCTAGTGGTGCAAGGGGTTTTTCGTCTCAGCAGTATGAAGCTATCGGCAGCCACTGCAGCACAAGTTCAATCCCTGGCCAGGGAGCTAACCCACATGGTGCAGCAGACCTCTCCTGTCTCTCCCGCTGCTCCCCTCAGCAATGTATTTCAACAGATCTGCCTCTTCTGCTCCCCACTCTGTCTCTGGTGAATGCTCTCATCTCCCTGCCCCCTCCCCACCCCACACCTCTGGCCTATACCCCAGCTCTTGTATAAACAAGTAAGAAAGAAAATATAGGTGTTAAAGTCAACTAGTTCTTTGACGCCTACAGATGTAACATTTGAAAGAAGCCAACCTTTATTTGTGATGAAATGACCATCAAAACTGAACTGACATACCACCACATATCCAAGGAAATGGCTCAAGTTAAAAACACTGACAACACCAAATTTGGGGATGACAGGAACCTCATAAACTTCTGGTTGGTAATACTCAAGTACTTTGAAAAACTTTTTAGCAGTATCTACTAACACTGTTCACATGCACACTGGACAGTCTGGCCTTTCCATTCCTAGACATGCACACATGCACAGATGCTTACCAGAATCTGTACATTACCTATACTAGTTTCTCAAAAGAATCCAAATGTGTATCAATAGCAGGATAATAAACATTTTTATTGTTTATTGCTAGTATAGTCATACAATACAAATGAACATTTGCTATAGGTAATAAAGATAATTCTCAAAAGCAAATTTTTGATTAAAGTCAGACATAACACAAAATATACTTTATTTATATTAAAGTGGCAAAACTAATCCATGGTGTTAGAAATTAGGGCAAGGGTTGTAATCAGGGAAATGCAAATCAAAACTACCATGAGATACCATCTCACACCAGTGAGAATGGCACATATTAAAAAAACTAGCAACAACAAATGTTGGCGAGGGTGTGGAGAAAAAGGAACTCTTCTGCGCTGTTGGTGGGAGTGCAAACTGGTCCAACCACTATGGAGAGCTGTGTGGAGATTTCTGGACCTACTAAACATAGAGCTTCCATAGGACCCAGCAATTCCACTCCTAGGTATTTACCCCAAGGACACAGAAACATCAATTCCAAAGAACACCTGCACCCCTATGTTTATAGCAGCACTGTTTACAATAGCTAAGCTTTGGAAACAGCCCAAATGCCCAAAAATAGATGACTGGATCAAGAAGATGTGGCCCATATACACCATGGAATATTACTCAGCATTCAAAAAAGATAAACACATGCCATTTGCAGCAACATGGATGGCGCTGGAAGGGATCATGCTCAGCGAAATAAGCCAGGAAGAAAAACAAAAATACCGGATGGTCTCACTCATAGCAGGAATCTAGAAAACTTAAATAAGGGACCAGGAAAATGAATAACTCTAAGAAAGTGAAAATCAAAATCAACAAAAAACTATGAACCAGAGACACTTTTTGGGGGGCGGGGGGCGGGAGGGGAGGGATTGGGGTCAGAATGGGGCGTTTGCAATTGTATGGGGGAATATAAAAATAAAATTTATTAAAAAAAAAAAAAGAAATTAGGGCAAGGGTTACATATGGGGAGGGGTGATTATTGTTGATATATATGGGTGTGTTCACGTTGAAATAATTCATCAAATGTGTACTTAAGATTTATTGTTTCAGATGAACCACTGTCACTTCTGTATGAATTTGGGAGAGACCTTGGAAAGCATTAAACTAATTTTCTTTGAGTCCCCATTCTGCAGCAGGCACTATGGATGCTGGAGAGCAAAACAGACATGGTCCTTGCCCTCAGAGAACTTAGACTCTCTCAGGAGAGAGAAATTACCCAACAGCCGAACGTAGCTCTAAGTTATATATATATATCTCACATTTATAAGTTACAGAAGTCTGGAAATACCCTAGTAGGCAACAGAGGAAGTAGTTAGGGTTGGGGAAAACCCCAAACAAAAGGATAAGAAAGGCATCTGTTCTGCTTTTAGCACCTTACCTGGCTCAGAGCTGCTGCTTACTTTGGGTCTAGAGCAGCAGACATGATTTCTTTTTAGGCTTCTTCTTTTCCACTGGTGTTTTTCTATTTATCTGTCTGACCAGGTCATAAAATATCTACATAAAAACAAGAAAAAGTATTTATTCACCAACATTTGAGGCCTTGTTGCACATAACAATTTTGGTTCTGTTAAATGCTAAAAAATTCAAACTTTCAGAAAAGCTGAAATAGCACTAAGAACTTATATACATTTTATCATATGTACTTTATCATTTCTCCTTTTTCCTTACCCTCCCCCCTCCACAAAGACTTCTGTTAACCATTTGAAAGTGGTCTGTATACCACAGGTCCTTAATAGCTGAGTCTATACTCCTTAAGAAGAAGGATATTTTCTTACATAAGTTCATCACAGTTATCACATTCAAGGCATTGGCACTTACGCTGTATTGTCTACAGTGCAATTCCTGTTTTGTCAGTTATCCCAATAATATCCTTTACAGTAGGGCCTCCTTGGTGGCGCAGGGGTTAAAGTATCAGAGCTATCCAGCTATCGCCAGCCACTGCAGCAAGAGTTTGATCCCTGGCCAGGGAGCTGACCCACATGGCGCAGCAGACCTCTCCTGTCTAGCCCGCTGCTCCCCGCAGCAGTGTATTTCAGTCCATCTGCTTGTTCTGCTCCCCACTCTGTCTCTGGTAAACACTCTCACCCCCCATACCCACAAACCTCTGGCCCACAACCCAGTTCTTCTATGCATAAATAAAGCTTAAAAAAAAATTTACAAGGCATTAGCTGTCTGAGGAGTTAATTACCAAGGAACTATATAGTTGGGACTATGAGGCTATAAAAAAGGAAACACTTAAAGTCAATTATACTCAAGAATTTCTAGCATTAAGTTTGTGTTAGTCAAAAGAATAAAGATGTTTAGATAGCTAGTATGTTTAATTTTTTTCTATTTTTGTTTTATAAACCCTCACGTCAAGAGTTGACTTTATCAGGACTTCTGTGACAAAGCAGCGCCTGCTGCACTGGAAATGGCAACTCTGAGAGAGGTTTATTAGCACGGAACTTCCCACAAACACTCACTGCTTAGCAGGTAAGGGAGCACTTCCTTTCCATGGTGCTCACTCTGGTGCAACCCAGGCCCAGAAGAGCACTGTGAACGAGGGTGGGTCAATACCAGTGAGGGTGAGGACAGGGACAGCAAGGAACCAGATCTTAAGGCAAACTATGCTGCAGATGCTGACTTCACACTACTGTCCCCCAGTCAAGTTGTTTCACCAATTCGAATGCATTTTATCTCAGTTATCTTCTTGCTATTGTTGATTAGTCAAGATTTTTTTAAATCAACATCTATAAAATTGTAATTCCACGAGAGAGAAAGATGACACTGGAAGCACATTATACAACCTTTCATTAGTTGGCAGTGAGTAAGAAGTAATTGTTCTTGAAGATCTCAGCAGGATTTGTTCCCCACTGAGATGTAAACTTATTTAGAGAAAGAATGTCTCTGGATGACTGTTACCCAGTGTCTAGCATGATACCAGACACACAGGCTACAGTAAATATTGGCTGAAAGAATGACAATTACAATTTTAGTTTAAATAAAAATATTTATTTAGTTTATTGAGTGTGTGTGCGTGTGTGTGTGTGTGTGTGTGTGTGTGTGTGTGTGTGTGTATAGAAGACCTGTGGTGTAGGCCAGAGGTGCAAGGAGTGAGAAGATTCACCAGAGACAGAGTGGGGAGCAGAATAGAGATCTACTGAAATATATTGCTGAGGGAGCAGCGGGTGAAACAGGAGAGGTCTGCTGTGCCACGTGGGTTAGCTCCCTGGCTGAGGATCAAACTCAGGCTATCGTGGTGATAGTACTGAGACTTAACTCCTAGTCCACCAGGGAGGCCCTAAAGATTTCTTTTTTATTTATTTATGCCTATAAGAACTGGGGTGTAGGCCAAAGATGCAGGGGATGAGACAATTCACCAGAGACAGAGTGGGAAGCAGGCAGATCCACTGAAATACACTGCTGAGGGGAGCACTGGGTGAGACAGGAGAGGTCTGCTGAGCCATGTGGGTTAGCTCCCTGGCCAGGGATTGAACTCGTGTTGCAGTGGCTGGCAACAGCTTGACAGCACTGAGACTTTAACTGCTGCACCACTAGGGAGGTCCATGAATTTAGTATTTTTATGTACTTATCAATATTGCTTTTACTTTAAAAAGGAAGTTTTGGCATTCTTGATTATTTGTAAAATCAGAAAGCTTAATTTTTTTCCTTCCAGATATCTAAAGTATTTTGGTCATTTTAAAAGTCAGACAATAGATCCTCCCTGGTGGCACAAGGGGTTAAGCACAGTACTGTGAAGCTATTTGCAGACACTGCAGTACGAGTTGGATCCCTGGCCAGGGAGCTAAGCCACATGGTACAGCAGACCTCTCTTTCCCTCAGCAGTATATTTCAGTCCATCCGCCTGTTCTGCTCCCCACTCTGTCTCTGGTGAATCCTCTCAACTCCCTCCCCACCCATCTCTGGTCCACAACCCAGCTCTGTATGCATAAATAAATCTTTGAAAAAAAATTAGAAGTCAGACAATAGTCTACAGTCATAATATTAGTTAAGATAAAGTGACCTAAAGAAGTTAAGACTAGAGCAAAACCTGATACTCTAATTCACTCTTAATTTTTATCTATGGTATAAGTGATCTGAATTCTGTTTATCTGTGATGCTATGAGCAGCCAGCACACTGGCAAATAAAGACTTCTACACTACTGGGAAAGGAAAAAAGCCTTCTCTGGTTAAAATGAAACATGATGGCATCTATTAAAATTAACCAAAGAAAAGGGAACTTCTTAAGTTTTTGCTTAGTTGGTGAGGGAGTCAGTTGGGAACTGTACTAAATTTTGAGGGGAGGTAAAAAAAATCACTGGCTTATATCCAGGTAGACAGCTTACTTGTTAAGTATTCCTGCCCACAGCCATGTCTCAAGATAACTGAAGCTTTTTTTAGTTAGGGGCAAAAAAATATCTTGTGCACCTGTTGTATCAGGCCTAGAAGATAGAGTGAATCACTGTTACATATCCACACTCACAGACTCCTCCATTTGAGTCACAAATAAAAGAGAAGCAGGACTCAACCAAGCAGATTCTGTGATATTTATGAAGGTACCATCTTTCTACAACAAGTTCATTATAATAACTACTTTGATTTTTCTATTTTCCTTTACAACCTATTTACACACATCTGTATGGGTAATTTTTACTATACAAAGATTGTATGACAATTTTTACAGAACACCTTCTTGTTTGTCATTTAGAGACTTAGCAGGACTTTAATATATTCTTTAACTTAAACTTCTTCTTTGCCAATAAGATAAACATTCTTATTTTAGTCATCAAAGTGATTTTATGCAAAGAACACACTTCTAGGAATTATGTTTTCTCTAAGTTGTTATAATGAAGACTGCTTAAAAGAACAAGATTTTCTCCCCAAAACATTTGGTTTAGGCTGTTAAATTTAACTTAAAAAAGGAAACTAGAAAAGGCAATTGTTGGTGTTGCTGTGCAGCTGCAGGTTACCTCATTAACGTTGATCTTTGACTTTGCAGAAGATTCTAAAAAGGCACAGTTACACCACTGTCTTGCTAAATTCTGACCCTGTTCTTTGCCAACTACTCGCTCATCTTCCAGATCACATTTATTGCCCACCAAAATCATTGGAACCTGTGGGAAGGAAAAAAACAAAGTAAGCACTAACATATTCATTACTTAGTATCTTATAAGAATGCAAATATCTGCCACCTAGAAGTGTGTTAGCCAGGACTATAAGCTTCACGAAGTGCTGAGAGAAAGTCTCTCTGTGCATGCTGGGGGGAAGGGAGTGGATAGAGAGGCTATATCCATCAAACACAGTACTTCCAATAACACAGTCTGCTAACAAAGTGTCTTAACACCCTTAGTTAAAAGGTGCCCAGAGAATAAAATAAAATCATTTGTTTGTGAGCATGGGCAATATACAAAAGTCAGAGAAACATGGTGGATCTTATACCCAAAACATGCAATTATCATGAGCTTGATCAAATACTCTACACATATAAACTTCACTTTTAAAAGCCTATTACATGTTTTTACAAAGTTTAATGCAGAGTTCAGTGACATGCATGTTATTGTATGAAAACAGAATTCTCTCAGATAAATCAGTCACAAGAAGGAAGAGAAATATTCATTAGATTATGGTTGGTCATGAATCATAGGGTATAAATCCCTCCTGTCTGCAACATGACCCAAAGTCAAGGTCTTGAGCAGGTATGTATGGCCCCACTAATAATGAAAGGGAACACACAAAAACAGGACAAATGAAATTTTGTATCTGAATTCATACAACTAAAAAGGAACTCTTTGTAGCTTAAAGCTATGGTTAATGTTTAAAATATAATTTCATCTTTGAAAAAAGGAAAGGACCTAACAACAGTGACATTCATCAAATAAAACAAAAATTCCAAAGCGAAAATAAAATTAAACTCTAGGAAAAAACTTTTTATGTAAAAATAACACCAACCGAATTTTAAAAAGAATACACCATTATAATTCTAAAAATATTCTCTGAACTATTTCTGATACAACTACCACCTTTTAAAGCTCAACCTGAGTATTGCTTCTTTCCTAAGTACTTTTTGACTCCTTCCTCTACTATATTACCCCAAGGCACAATGAGCATGTTCTAACCATCTCAGCATGTAATTTGCAGGTTAATTTAGAAAGTTTTAAAGCTTTTGCATCACAGGGGCTCTTTTAGGCATGCAGCAGACATCCTCCAAACCCTTTATTGAAAGAGAGAATGGACACTACTTGTGTGCAGAGAGATAAATACTTACATCTTCTGTGTCCTTAACCCGTAAAATCTGTTCCCTCAGGTCCTGTAAGTCATTAAACGTGGACTGAGCTGTAATAGAATATACTAGTGCAAACCCTTGGCCGTTTTTCATATACAAATCCCTCATTGCTGTAAATTGCTCCTATAATAAAAAAAAAAATGCAACTGTCAGTATGATCTCTTGAACACTGGACTGGAACAATTTAAATAAGAATAATCACAAGTGAGTTATTGAAATTTTTATTACATGTTGTCATGATAGAAAATGTAAGACATAATACATGCTTTCTAGAAACTCTACAGGGAATGTTTCTGTTTCCAATGTGCAAGACTAGAAATGACAGTGAACTGTAGAATTAGAAGGGAATGCTTAGCCACCATAATTTCTTTTGATTTAGAAAAACTGTATATAATTTTTACATGCAGATCCTAATTACATTATTTTGATGCTACTAAAGATAACCTCCAATATAGTTTTGTTAGAAAAGAGATATCCAAGTGCTAAAAAATGAGACCCTCTAACATTATTTAATAGTGGTTAGGAGATATAGATGAGTCAGGAGAGAAGAATGAGGAGTAACCAATGATACGGGGAGAAAACCAAGCAAGTATTTCTGGGAAGTCAGGTGAACAAAACTTTTACAAAAGATGGTGATCACCAGAGTCAAAGGTTGATGAAGTCAAGAGAATAGGAGATACGTGCAAGGGACAGAGTGTAACGGACAGCCCATGACTTGAAGCTATGTAAAGAGGGGGTTGAAGATAAGAAACACAATCAAAGATGTTCAAATAAACTGTGGGTTCCAGTGCAGCTGATGGGGTATGAAAGGAAGTGAAATGGGAAACAAGAGGTGGTGAGAAGAGAGTGGGATGCTTGAAAATGAAATCAGGGAGGTATTATAGTTTTTGGCAATTGCATAATCTAGGGCAAAACCATGGGTGTGAATGGCTGAAACAGGACAGAGGTCAAGGAACTGATAGGTCAAGATACTGGATCATTATAATATTTGTACAGATTCTATTTGGATACTGAAATCACCAAGAAATCTGACTGCAACAATGTTAGAGTAAGCAAAAATCCTCAAGGTATAAGTTGTGAGCTGGGACAAAATTAATGAGCACCAACTACTTTCCAAGTTTCATGGAAGGCACTGGTGATGGACAATTAAATGTGCTGAGCATAGGAAGGGAAAAGACATCTGAGAGCACAAAGAAAAGATCTCTGCAGTAGGGAAGAGCTTCCTTAATTTGGACAAGAGAAAGAAGAGAGAATACCCCCATACTTGTTGAGATAGTGTAGAAGTAAAAGTACTCTTTAACTGGTAAGGTCTTTGACAACAGGGGAATTATTGCTGATTCAAAAATTAAGAAAACGGGGCGTGGGAATGGCAAGAGGGGGAGATTTCTTGATTCAGCTGATAAGAATGAAAAAATATAGTATAATTAGTATTATAATTGCTTCAGCCAGCTTATATGCTTTTTTAAAATGCTCTAAAACTTTCTTATCATAAAAATCTGTGCTGAGTATACCAACATAATGTTTAAATATACCATCCATTTTAAAGCTGGAACTTCCTATTAGGAAAAGTCTGTTTATGGAGGGAAAAACAAAAGAAAAACAGCTTAATGCATGCTTTTTTCTCTTGTAGCAGTATAAACTGAAAATTATCAATAATTGTTAGAAAAACTATGAAGATGATGACATTAATAAAGACAATGAAAACAGAAGCAAATACATGGAGCCCATACTATAAAACAGACATTGTTGTGCTAAGATAAATAATCAACATTTCATTTGAGCACTATAAGCACTGCATGATAAGCTAATGCCATTATATCTATACTCATTTAAAGATGAGAAAAATGAGGCTCAAATTAATCCAAAAGATTTTTTGGTCAGAAAACAAGTAGCTGTTACCAGCTCCTCAAGGCATTAAAATGTTAATAAAAACCAAAAACAGTTTTTATAAAGATGAATTCCTATGGTGCTAACAAAGTCTTATTTAAACCCAGAGAAATATCTGTCTTGACTAAAATTTGGATTTAAAATATCTTTTTTTTTAAAGCAAAAATAAGTATCTTTACTTCAATACAGGGAAAAGAAACCCTACACAAAGATTCTGCAGGTTAACTCAACTACAATTAATCGTGACATGTGGGCATTAAGCACTTCAATGGATGGCTTCACACATACAAGAAAATATATGTTCCACATTTAGAGAATTTGTTTTTAATCAGAATAATTACTTACACTAAGAAGAATTATTCAAATGGCAAAAACTATTAGCAAATTACTATCTATCTATCTATCTATAAATAAATAAAAAAGAAAGAAAGAAAATCTCCTTACTGTTCCTGCGGTATCCAAGATTTCGAGCATACACTGTTGGCAATCTACTTCAACTTGCTGTAATAAAGGGAGGGAAAAAAATATAACATCAAAATGTCAGTCTGCTTTTCTCTGGTCTTTTCACTCAAAGTACCCATTGACATCTATAAAGTCTTTCTCAGTTTGATGTACTGGTGGAAAGTTAATCTGGCACTTTAGTTAAAAACAGGTAGTCTCAAGCATATTCTATTCATATAAGGGGAGCCAGGACTATTAATGCTGAGTTTTAGATATTTTGTGATCACTGTAAATCTAAGTAATGATTTCTGTCACTATTAGAAGGCAAATGGTCATACTATGTAATTTAAGGAAAACTGCAATAAACAGGTACATTTATAACAGAAAAATGTACATAAATATGCATATTTATGTTATCTTCAAAAACAAAGAACAAAAGTATTCAAAATAAAGATATTGGGGGGAAAGGAATTTTGCCAACTTACCACTCACAAGTTGAAGTTTTCCTAAAATATACCCCAATTTTAATACATAGGAAAATTTGAATTTAAGAGATAAAGGGAACATATAAGTGCTAAAATGAAATAACTGAACTCAGTCTTTAAGACTTTAAGAAAAAGATACTTTGGCAAAGTTGTATGTATCAGGTGAAATTCTATACACTGAATTCTATTTTTCCAGTGCTTTATGAAAGGATAAAGTTGGTGTGAAGAAAGTATCAACTATTAACCATGTGAAAAACTTATAAAAAAGGTCTAGGAAAGGTGTTACATCTTCAGCATTCTAGGTATAGATATCCATTTGCAGTTAAGGCTTTAACCTGTCACAAATTTGGGAGAAATTTCAATAAAGCTATACTCTGTTCTTAAAACAAAGTTTTAATGTAAGGATCATTTTAAACTTTGAGAAGTACTACTGGCAGTGTCACAAACTCGTCCCCACCGCTTACAGGAAAATCTGTAACTGGGCATATACAATGAATAATAAATTAGGTCTGGTGTTTCTCAATGGATCTAGAACACAGTTTTGCTCACATATTGTAGACATTGAAACTGCTCTGCCAGTACTGCTTGATGAACTTCGTTTAACAAAAGTTAAAGCATTATGAAAGGTAAATTCTCAAACATTGAACAAATCAGTCCTTTCCTATTTGCTGAAAGTAGGTTTCATCTATTTTGGTGGGGAGTGGGGCAGAGTAGGTACATATCCTCGGCTAATAATCTTTCTTATGAGACTATCTTTCCCCTCCTTAACATACGTGGGAAATAAAGTCATGAAAATTCTCCACAATTGTAACTCGTTTTAAAAAAGAGCATTTGCCTCCAAATTCTTCACTATTCTTTACTTCTCAGTCATAAAGCTTCCATTTTGTATCTACATTTTAGAATCAAATCATCCCCCCATCCCATAAGCCCCCTTGACCCTTTTTCCCCTCCCACCTGCCTTAGCTTCAGTGACCTTACTTCTTGTTATTTAGTGTCTGCTGCTTTTTAAGTATTTTACTTTAAGTAAATGTCTAATATTTGTAATTCTGACATGTTTTTACTTCAGAATTCCCTTGACTTCCTTCCATTTTGTTGTAGATGGCAGCATTTCATGTTCCCTTATAGCTAAATCATTTTCCATGGTGGGGATTTACCACCTCTTCCTGATCCAGTTTTCTTAATTGGGGGTTTTGGCTGCTTCCATGTCTCACGACAGTAAATAATGCTGCAACAAATACTGTAGAACACACTGATGGGTTTCACCTTCTTTGGCTAGATGCCCAGGTGTGGAATTCCTGGGTCATATGATACTTCCATTTTTAGTTTTTTAAGGTACTTTCAGATTGCTTTCCATAATGGTCACACCGGTTTACATTCCCATCAACAGTATAATAGTATTCCTCTTTCTGCACATCTTCTCCAGCACGTGGTAGTCTAATATGTGCGAGTCTAATGGATGTGTGGTGATACCTTGTTACGGTCTGAAACTGACACTCGCTTACTGGAAGCAAAGATGAACATTTTTCCATATATCCACTGGTCTTCTGGATATCCTCTTTGGTGAATTGTCCATTCAGAACTGTTGCCCATTTATTCATTTGTTTTACTACTGCTGAACTGTATAATTTTTTTATATATGTAGACTATTAATTCCTAGTTAGATATGTAATATGACAGAAATATTTTCTCCCACTTAGTAAGATATCTTTCTATTCTACTTTTGTTTTCCTTCGTTGTGTAAAAAGTTAAAGTAATTATTTTTTTGTCAAGACCAACTATTCAATTTCTTTTCTTTTAAAATAAACTTTTACTCTGTAGAGCAGCATTAGGCTCACAGCAAAATTAAGCAAAATTCCCGTATCCACCATTCTGGCATCTCACAGAACGCAACTACTTATTTTCTATAGACTAAGGGTAAATATCTTTATGAACCTTAAAAATAAAAATTTTCAGTCACTGGGTAACTTCAAGAATGAAAGCGATCTTAATTTTACTTCACAAAAAGTTGCCAAAAATACACTTACTGCTTATACTAAATAAACCTGCTAATTTTTCTATGTTAAAAAAATTACCTACCAGGACAATGTATACATTAAGGAACAGAATATTTATCAGCGACATGGAACTCTCTAAATCTAAGTGGTACAAGAGACGTCTTATCTTTGTGAAACTTTTGAAAACAGATACAGAACACTTGTACCATGTCTCAAAACTATTTTTAAAAATGTAATTCCATGGATTAAGTCTCAAAATCAGCAAGAAACTACTTTTTACCAGGTGTATACAAATTTCATAATTTACCTTTCTGTAGGAATCTTCTATCGTTGGGTCATATTTTTCAACAAAAATTCCCTGAACAAATTGAACTGTCTGGGGGTGGAAAAACATACACAAGTTAAGGACATAAAAGAAAATCAATGCCTTTGAATGTCACAAACCAGTAAAGTTTAAATGAAATTAAGTGAAAATTCTGGATAAATATGCAAATGTAAATGTTATTTTTCAAGATAAGAATACATCGATAACTAAGACTGTACTTGTTATAAAGAGGTGAGGGTCATGTTAAAAATATGTGAGCAATGCTGCTGCCAGCATTACACTGTTAAATAATTACAGTATTAAGTTTTAAAATACAAGGGAAGTCAAATAAAGACATAAACATGATAGACAATAAAAATTGAAAATTTATCAGAAACTCTTATTACCCCTTTATGTATCTATAGCAACTTTTAATCCATGCCAAGAGAGAGACAAAGGGTTCTATACTTTAAAAAGTTTTGAAATAGTCTTTATAATTGCAGGATTAAAGGAAAAGGGAATTAAAATATTCTGACTATAACTGACTATAACTGAAATTATAGTCACTATAAATTTAAGTAAAATTCAAAAGCCACATTCAAATTTCATAGTCACCCCAGAAGTAACTACTCCTCTCCTTTGCCAGCTGAGATCAGACAAAAGTTTCTGATACCAAAGCCTCTTAATTTTAACTTTTTTCTTTGGAAAACACCGTCTACATATTTTTCTCAGAGTATCTTTTATCTCTCAGAATTTTCTAAGCACAGACTACAAGGTGATGAAACCAGAAATCTTATTCAGCAAATGAAATGCAGAAGAGAGTTTGAAATTATTTCCTGAAGAGCATTTAAACAGGGTCAAAGAGAGTAGACTGAAGCCAATGGACTAAATTCATCTACATAAAATTACCCAAAGGAGTATTTTATGTACTATTTTAGCTCAAGCTCAACAGATTAACTTGAAACTTCTTTTTCCTACTAAGTTCCTATTCTTAAAAGGAAGTTCAGAATATAATCACACCAAAACTTTAATCATTTAATCAAAGTATAACACTTTTTTAGTATTACATATACTTTACTATTTTTTTTAAAGATTTATTTATTTATTTATTTATTTATTTATTTATTTATTTATTTATTTATTTATATAAGCACTGGGTACAGTCAGAAGTCGGGAGGGTGAGAGAATTCACCAGAGCCAGAGTGAGCGGAGAGCAGAGCAGGCAGACTGATGAAGTACACTGCTGAGGGGAGCAGCGGGAGGCAGGAGAGGTCTGCGCGCCATGTGGGATGGGACCCTCACCCAGTGACCAGGGATCGAACTGGCGCTGCAGAGGCTGTGGGCAGCTTGGCAACCTAGTGCTCAACCGCTGCGCCACTGGGGAGGCCCAGTATTACATATACTTTAAATATGAAAAACAACCTAAGGTTTCCTAATATGCTTTAGAGTGAGAGGTCTCAAAATATGGTTCAGATCAGAGGTTTACAAAACACTGTTCTAATAATTCTGTCTTTTTCTCAAATTTACCCTGGGGTTTTCCAAAGAGTATATAGTATAAGCTATGGCAAGAGAATGGATACAGAAGCAGATATGACAATCTAAGTGCTTTCTAAAAGCCAAATATTAAATACTTTGATTTGCAAAAATGAAATACAATCCAGCACTTCTCACTTTATTACATAATGTGGTCTTTCATTACTTCTTTGAATCTCATTCTCTCAGCTCTCATGAACATCTCATGATTCACACAGACTTTTCTTTCCTTAATTTTCCTACTGGTTCCTCTCCTTCCTTCCTTTTTTTTTTTTTCCTCTAGCAATTACTAAATTCCTCTCCTATGTCAACATTTTCTTCTCTACTTGACTAATGCCTCAGCATAGAAATGGAGAACCATCTCTTGCCCTAAAACAAAATATCTCCCTGAACTCCATGATCCCTACAGCTTCTCCCCACCCCCTCACACCCGTCCTCTATTTCTTTTCATAATGAGACTTCTTCAACTATCTACAATTGATAGTTCCATTACCTTGGAACTCTGTGACTCATCTCAGGGTAGTTATGTCCCTGCCACCTACTGAAACAGTTTTCATCAAGTCTGGCTACCTCCATGTTCCCAGATCATCTCTTTCTTGACTTTTTGCAGTCAATTAAAGATCTGTTCTTTACATTCAAGTACAAAATATGGTCTTCAATACTATCTACTTTTAGAGGCTGAGAAGACACTCAGCACAATTCTGAATTCTCTTCTCTCTCAAATCTTTACCTATGGATTTCTATATTTGTTTTTGAAAAGGTAATGAACACAGCACAAATGTAAAAGACAAAAATACTATGCAGTGGTAACTCATTCTAATGTGGTAACTCACTCTAATTCTATTCCCAAGGAAGTAACCCATATGTTACCCATAGCTTATTTAACCTTGCAGAGATAATTTATGCATTTCATATCTCCTCTTACCCTCTCCTTTTTTATAAAACACAAATGATAGTCTACACTTTTTGTACCCTTTCCCTCCACTCCCTAATAATATGGAATGACTCCATTTTTAGGTTACACTCAAAGATTCAAACTAATCTATAGTGACAAAGCTGGTAAGTGATTACCTGGGAACTGAGAGGTTAAATAAAAGAGCACACGTAACTTTTGGGGTGGTGGGTATTTTAATTATCTTTTTTTAAAGATTGATTTATTTATGCATACAAGAACTGATGTATAGGCCAGAGGTGTGTGTGTGGAGGAGGAGAGGATTCACCAGAGACAGAGTGGGGAGAACAGGTGGACTGACTGAAATACACTGCTGAGGAAATTTAAGTTCCTAAAAATCAGAAGAATCTTTTTCCTCTTTGAATAATAAACACTAATGCTTGACTTATAGTTAAGTAGCTAATAAATATTTGGTAAATGAAAGAATGAATGGGCCACTAATAGAAAATGATATACATCTGTCCTTAGATTTCCTGTCCCTGAGGGTCAGACAATAGGCATATAAAAGGTACCTCCACCTTTTCTCTTCAGTGATTAGAAGTTTTAAAGGAAGCAAACACCCTCTTGTATTACATCAATCAGTTGTAGTGAGGTGGCTAACTTACCAGAGCAGACTTCCCCACGCCTCCTGAACCAAGGACCACTAGCTTGTACTCACGCATGATGTGGTCTGTTTAAATACTGACAATCTGAAAAACAAAAAGATCAATAAACACCCATGAATAGTCTAAGAATGTACAACTGTTAATTGAAATAATAAGATTTTATTTGCTTTTCCCCTTAAGACTGCCTAGGAAGACAGAAAATACAGCAAAACATGTAGATTTTAACAAAAAGTTTATAGAACTACCTTCAGGAATTGATCATTTGCCTGTTGATGTTGTTTCTAACAGTGTTTCAGCAGAAGATAAAATGATTAAAATTAGTTGTCTTTATAACTATAGTCATGAACCTAGTTCTTTACAATGTTATAATTTAAACAACTTATATACCATTTTTGAAAAGCTCACTCATGAGCTTTAATATGATGTACAACTGAAATTCCATCTTATTTTGTTATTTTAAAATTTTATTTATATGTATTTTACATCATTGTTCATTTTTATATACTTTGTTCATCACTGTATTTAGTGGAACCATGTAAGATGTTACCTTAAAAATAACTAGGACATGAATGGAATATTATGGATTAAATTTTTAAACTCTACAAGTTGGTAATAGTTATATACTCCCATAAGGTCCAAATCACCAGAAGAATGAAAGGAATATAAACTTTGATTTTTATCTCCATGGTTTAAAAGGTAAACACAAAGGAAAGAATTTCCAATGGCTATGCTGGAGTGAGTAGGATTGGTACTTTCCATTGTAAATCCCAGGCAAAAATAAAAGAAACAATGGTTTTGAGATACTGGACAATAAAGCAGAGACCTACAACTGCCCTAGCTTTCTGCCCAGATGCACTCTTCAGTCAATGGTGCAGTGAGGAAGAACTCAAGAAGAGATATGAAGTATACCAGAGAAGGGGCAGTTATGCACAGAAAATTCCAGAAATCTACACAGGGGTCCACCTGAGTCTATGGCCAAATGCTAAAGCAGGCGTGCAGGATGAAACTTTCTGAGGAATAAAAAAGTTTAAAAAAAAAAAAGAAGACAGAAAGTTCATGAGGTAATAAGGCAAAGAATCAATCAGGATCTGTAAGCTGAACAATTCCTAGAGTGCTAGGAAATACTGGAGTTGTAACCAGAAAAGTCTTCTTTATCAAGTAAAAGTAATTCACATGAAACCCCTGAAGATTCATACATTATACAGTTAAGTAAGACCTAAGTTAAAGATATGTTAGATGCTACAGCTTAATGATGATTAAAAACAAGCCTCAAAGGGACTGAGCTAATCCCTTCAACTGCTTATCAGGACAGAGTCCACAATTCTTGGGGGGAAAATATACAATATAAATGTCCACGGTATCCTGTAAAACATTAAAAGGCATGTGAAGAAGAAAAAAAGATGTGGCCTGAAGTCAGAGTCAAATATATCAGGCCTGAAATAGTCCCCGATTTTAGATAATGGAATTAGCCAATGAGGACTCTAAAACTGCTATTATAAATATCAAGGATTTAAAGGAAAACATGAGGAGCTATACGGTAGGCACAAAAAAGATCCAAAGGAACTACTAGTATTCAAAAACTGTCTGAAATTCAAAAATCCCTGGATGGAATTAACAGTATATAAATACTGCAGAAGGAAATTTCAGTATCTATTTGTATCACACAGTTCTCTTATTTCTATTAAAGAAAACTACTGTTAATCAAAAGTGCATGCGTTTCATCCAGACAGATCCCTGTATCTGTAATTGCCTTTTCAGGCATGCAGAGTGTCTCAGTCTGGGGACTGCTATCAGTCTAACAAGAAGCAAATTCATCATTTCTAATCCAAAAATGTGTATCTTCAAGAAGGACTCCTAATATAGCAAGGCTCATTCATACCCCTCAAATTACCTCCTAGAGCAACAGAATTTGGAGAAAGCACTCAGACATGGTCAAATTATTTTGGGTATTCTGCAACTACAAAATATTTGACCCCTGTCCCTCATTTAAATGTATGAATGATATTCAAGATTCAAAGCCATTTTTTTTTACATATACTGTACATACAGAAAATTTTTTTACGCCTAAGGAATACCACAGGCTATAAATATATACGCACATGCACACATGCAAATATAATAACACAGCTCAGAAAACGCACGCGCACACACACACACACACACACACACAAATACCTAATAAGGAATAATTAATATTTTCTTTTTGAAGGGGGTTAGTTCTAACTCATTACTGCCAAGTAAGAAAACCACTAAGTTCTTCCAAGCAAATCCTATGCCTTTTTATGGAAATTTCTTGTGCCCTGTACTCCCAACACAGTACCAGGAAACTTCTCTCTGGTTAAGATTCCCTGACAAATAAGGAGGAACAGGAATAAATATTACACTGTGTTTAAATTTAAATCAATCTTGAGTCTCTAACATTATGATCCAAGTTATAAGATAGTAATTTTTACATTTTTCCTTTGGCAAAACTACTTCTAAATTTCACAAAATTACATGACTTGGTTGTCTTTATGAAGCAAATTGGTTCCACTTAGTTTCTTCTGATTTTAAGTATGTAAACTAATTAATTATAAGATCTTGGATACAAAATACATTAAATTTAGTTGTTATATTTTGAAGGAAAACATTTTCAGAAAATTTCAGAAACATTTTCAGAAGGTAATTTCTTAATGAACAGCTATCTACTAGTAATTGTATTTAAATATTGACAGAAACTGAATATTTAAAAACTGACATCTAGCAAATACATGTTGGGGGTAGGGTAGATGTAGAGGTGAAAAAACGCTAGGATTTAACTTTCTAAAGAACAATGTTCTTCACAGTGTATCATAATGGAAATTTACTCTGTTTTGTAACTGAAATCACTGATCTCTGAGATCTCTTCCTTAATACTTTCTCCTCTGGTTCTTCTCAGGACAAGTAATTAGAGGGAAGGAAATATATAGAGACAAAATGATAGAATATAACTTACTTATAAATGAAGTTTATAAATTAAGTCTTTTTTTTTTTTAAAGATCTATTTATTTATTTATACAAGCACTGGGTACAGTCAGAAGAGCGGGAGGGTGAGAGAATTCACCAGAGCCAGAGTGGGGAGCAGAACAGGCAGACCGAGGGGAGCAGCAGATGCGGCAGGAGAGGTCTCTGCTCCATGTGGGACCCTCGCCCGGCGGCCAGGGATCAAACCGGCACTGCAGAGGCTGCGGGCAGCTTCGCAGCCCAGCGCTCAACCGCTGGGCCACCAGGGGAGGCCCTATAAATTAAGTCTTTACACTCTCCACCCAGAGAGTACAAAACAAAAGGACAGAGAGATGGAATGAATGAGAGTTGGAAGGAATAATTCAGGGCTGGTTTTGCAGTGTAGAGAGCAAAACTGTTCTATCTTGTTGCTGCATCATCCTTTAGAGTATTCCCTTCCCTTCCAGGTAGCTAAAAACAATTCCCCACCATGCCCACATTCCAGCTCATGGGAAGAAAGAAAGAGGAAGGAAAAGGTGTATCCCTTTTTCCATATAGGCATAACCTAAAGGTTACATAACCTATTCATATGTAACTTCCACTTGCATTCAAATTGCCAAAACTCACCACAGAGTCAAATGTCATTATCAGGAAGCGAGTGAAATGAAGTTTCAGCTGAATAGCATAGCATTCAACAAATACATCCACTACTTAAAACTAGCAATTTTTATGATGATTTTCCAATTTTCTTTACTTCTCTCTACTCAGATACATGCAGAGACATTAGTATATGCATAAAATATCTTTGGGAGGAAATCGAGGAGTGAGGGGGCATGGAAAAGGGAGCATTTTCACTGTGAATCTTGCATGTTGTTTCTTTTTTTTTTTTTGTGGGACCCTCACGGGTGGCCAGGGAACGAACCAGTGCTGCAGAGACTGCAGGCAGCCACCAGGGGGAAGCCCTTGCATGTTTCAGGCAGAGGTAATGGGTAGGGATAAAGACATGGAAGCCCACGAAAAAGGGCAGATTTAAGAGGGAAGAATTTTTTTTTAATTCATTTTTTTAAAGGTTTATTTATGCATATAAGAGCTGGGGTACAGGCCAAAGGGGTGTGTGTGTGTGTGTGTGGGATGAGGGTGAGAGTATTCACCAGAGACAGAGTGGGGAAGGGAACAGGCAGACTGACCCGAGTACACTGCTGAGGAGAGCAGCGGGTGAGTTAGGAGAGGTCAGCTGGGCCATGTGGGTTGCTCCCTGGCCAGGCCAGCGGGGGGGGGGGGGGGGGGGCCGGGAATCCAACTCTTGCTACGGAGGCTGCGAACAGCTTCATAGGTTGTGTCTTAACCCCTTGTGCCACCAGGGAGGCCCCAAGAGAGAATTTAATGAAAAAACTATTTAAAAAAATGCCTGTATGGCTGAGCATTTACGGTGAAAGGCAGAGGGAAAGGAAAGAACGCAGATGTGGTTTTAACAATAGGCGAGCAAGCTACTAAAGTATGTTATGCCAAGAACCTGAAACGTTCCTATCAGAGGAGGAAAACTATTTAAGGCTTATGAGGCATAGGTTGGAACAAAGGCATGAGAAAGTGGAGCAGGGAGACGAGTTGGGAAAGCAAGAAATGGGGTTGGAATTTGAGAAACAGGATTAACCTTAAAGCAGGGGACATGGTTCAGCAATGTTGCTATAAAAATCAAATGAGATAATACATATATAGAAATGAGCACAGTGCCTGATATTATCCACTTAAAAAAATTACTACTACTATCCCTGCTATACTACTGTAGCTACAGTGTTTTGCTATTTTGAGAACTACAGAAAGGTAATATAAAAAGAGATAGCACTATCAGATTAGGAAACCCAAATTAAGAGGCAGCAGAGTAAAATATAATGATTTTAAACCGTATTGGAATCTGATGCCCATAAATACATAGGGGTAAATGAACCCAAATTAACAAGTGATCAAGAGGAATTATCTTTACGCAAGCCTACGTGGATCTAAAACCAAGCTCTGTAAGTTGTGCAAACCTGGGCAAATTATTTGACTCATTAATATTCAATTTGCTCATTAATAAAAAGGAAAGCTGAATTAAAATGCTTCACCTGTTTCTGATAATTAAATAG